CCTTTCCTTTTTAAATGGCTGCCTGAAAAGTTTAGAGATTCTCCTTGGAAAGGTGAAAATAGAAGTATAGCTGAATGGTTATTAACTAATAAAGCCAGAAGGGATATCTAATATGAAAATGACTTTACCATCATTTCTGATATTAACGGTAATTGGACTCTATTCAACCATCCATTTTTCATGGTTCATCTTGAGTTGATTTACTGCAACCAAGTTAAAAATAGCATTCTTTTTATAACTATATGATTATGGATACCGGATCGCTGCATATTGCTGTCAAGATCTGATTATTTCATAATAAACCATACAAAAAAAATGACCTGTTCAATTCATCATGGACAAAATAGGAAACAAATAGGGTTGAATGCACATTGTGAACTGAGGATTATCTCATAAAGGGGGGGGGGGGACAGCCGAATGATTTCCCTACATTTTACCTGAGAGACAACTTGATAAAAGGGCCTTCAGGCTGATACATTCAGATACTTGACAGGTTGAGATTTAGGGAGTGAATCTGTTTACTTCTGCTTCAGAGGGTAGGTCTGAAGCAATATTTCCACCTTGCAAGCGAATGACATTTCAATGAGATGAACTTCCTTGTTGTAGGAGTTGTTGTTTGGCGCTGGAACAGACTACTTTAGAAGATGATGGGCTAAATCAGCAACCTGATGTTTTCCAGGTACTTTGGTGATTCAGTTCCCAAATCTGTTACCATATATAGGCTGGCTGGGAAGTGAAATCTGAACATTTGGTAGTGTTTGGTTGGCCTATTCTGTTCCTGGAAGTGAGAGTATCAGTTTTCCAGCATTGGAGCAAGACCATGAACTATATGCAGTGATGGGATTCAAGTAATTTAACAACTGGTTCTCTGCCCTAATGATTTCTTCCAACAACCAGTTTGCCAAACGGCCCAGAAAGTTAACAACTGGTTCTCCCGAAGTGGTGCAAACCAGCTGAATCCCACCACTGACTATATGGCCTCAGTGTTCCTTTCCAATTTTAGGATTTTAGGAAATAGCTCAATGAACACTAATTCCCACTAATTCCTGTCTTAGGCCTAAATATATTTACCCATGCTGTAGGCTGTATTGCTACTATCCTTCTCTCATCAGGAAATCTGTTGTCTTAATTGCTAAATCCTAAAGTTCAACACTGCTTTATATAGGTGCTGCTTCGAATTCCTAAAGAAAAGGTGTCATATAAATGTAATAATATAGAATGGAGCTTCTCACTTCAAGACTTCCCAAGTAATTCAGCAACACATATTTGCCTTTATTCCATTCCTAGTGTTGTGGCCCGCCAGCAGATCTGGCAACAGATTCGGACAGTGAGGAGGTTGGGGAGGAACATGGGCCAGTCCTGGAGTGTGGGGAAGGCTCTGATGAGGGCTCTGCATCGGAGGCAGAGCCATATGCCAGTTATCAGCTGCTTTCAGAGTCAGACATCAGTGAGGCAAACGAACAGCTGGAGCCTGTTCCCAGTATGCGCATGCACAGAGTTGCCAGACGAAGGGAACAGCTAAAGAACAAGGGTTGACTTGGGAGTAAGGCCACAGGTAGACAATGAATGGCCCCTCCCAGAGGAAATAAAAGAGGAGCGAAAGGGGAGTGGAGTTTGCAGGAGACAATTAGTTCATTACTGCATTCTTGCCAAGTATTGCCGAGTCTGGAAGATATTGGCCTGGCTACTCTCCAAGCCTGATAAAGGTCGGTAATTGTGAACTATTGTGACAGACTCTGGGAGAGGAAAGACTTTGCTGGAGAGGAATTCACTGTAAATTAAATAAAAGGGGTTTATTGGGACGAGGACTTGGCTTCATGGTGCTGGGGAAGCCTAGATCAAAACACCTATTCTAAATTTGATCTGAAGTTGTCAGAGGGTTAAAAATCATTCATATTATCCCATTGGCCACTTTACCTAAAAATTACCAAATATAGATGCTGGAAGCAAACGGGTTTGGCTAAAGGACAGGAAGAACAGACATAAAATATCTCATTCCTACAGGAAGGCTTGCTTCACTTCCTCCATCAAGTTATTTAAGGTTGGCTGAAGTTGCATGTGTCTTTGGCACTGGCCTTGCTGCAATTTTTTAAAGCGTCCACTTAAGTGGAAAACCTGTTCCTGCTTGCTGGATGCTTTAAGAGTCTGCTAGAGAGCGTGAGAGAGATGGCAACACCATGTATCACTCTTGGGACTTCAATACAGCATCCAAGATCATGCAAAGAGCAGAAAACAGCCTGCTCGTTTTGACAGAGTCAAATGAAACAGTAAAGGAGAGGGAAACCTTTTTGTGTGTGTGTGTGTTTGAATCAATTTGCGATCTTCTGTGGGAGTTTAAACAAGCTTGCAAAGGAAGAATCAGGGCTCCACTGTTTACAAAGTTACTATGGCCAGAAGCTGTATATCTTACCTATTGCAATGGTGAATTCCTACTGATGTTGCCAAGACTGAACTTTGAGAGATTAAAGCCAGAATGCCTGCAGACTATCCAAGAGAATTCTCAGAAGACCTGAGATATGGTGGTGGTGGTTGTTAGTTGCAAAGTTGTGTCCAACCCATCGCGACCCCATGGACAACGTTCCTTCCTATCCTATACCATCCTCTGGAGTCCATTTAAGCTCGTGCCTACTGCTTCAGTGACTCCATCCAGCCACCTCGTTCTCTGTCGTCCCATTCTTCCTTTGCCCTCAATCTTTCCCAGCATTAGGCTCTTCTCCAGTGAGTCCTTCCTTCTCATTAGGTGGCCAAAGTATTTGAGTTTCATCTTCAGGATCTGGCCTTCTAAAGAGCAGTCAGGGTTGATCTCCTCTAGGACTGACTGGTTTGATCGCTTTGCAGTCCAAGGGACTCGCAGGGGTCTTCTCCAGCACCAGAGTTCGAAGGCCTCGATTCTTTGGCGCTCAGCCTTTCTTATGGTCCAACTTTCACAGCCATATATTGCAACTGGGAACACCATAGCCTTGATTATGGGCACTATGGACACTTGGAATATCGCATTCAGTTTTGGTCGGCCTGATGTAAAAAAGATGTTGAAACTCTAGAAAGAGTGCAGAGAAGAGCAACAAAGATGATGAGGGGACTGGAGGCTAAAACATATGAAGAACGGTTGCAGGAACTGGGTATGTCTAGTTTAATGAAGAGAAGGACTAGGGGAGATATGTTAGCAGTGTTCCAATATCTCAGGGGTTGCCACAAAGAAGAGGGAGTCAAACTATTCTCCAAAGCACCTGAGGGCAGGACAAAAAGCAATGGGTGGAAATTAATCAAGGAGAGAAGCAATTTAGAACTAAGGAGAAATTTCCTGACAGTTAGAACAATTAATAAGTGGAACAACTTGCCTCCAGAAGTTGTGAATGCTCCAACACTGGAAGTTTTTAAGAAGATGTTGGATAACCATTTGTCTGAAGTGGTGTAGGGTTTCCTGCCTGTGCAGGGGGTTGGACTAGAAGACCTCCAAGGTCCCTTCCAACTCTGTTATTCTATTCTATTCTATACTTTTGTTGGCAAGGTGATGTCTCTTCTTTTTAGTAAGCTGTCTAGATTTGTCATAGCTTTCCTCCCCAGGAGCAAGTGTGAGATATGGTAGACAAGGAGAACTGCAAAGGCAGACTAGCATGGACCGTTGAGGACCCAATGGGTGACTCCTCCTCCTTTTTGTAATTTATATTCAGAAAGGTACTCTGGAATTTGTGTGTTTCCTCTTGTTGACCAAGCTAGAAATAGTTGCAGATACCCCTCACGTAATGATGATGATTGATAACTCTGTTGCTAAATGATATGGTCATAAAGTGCAACTTATTATGGCAGTCCCAGTTGTAGTATTTTTAGGTGAAACCCATGTGATTGCAGTATCCTGGGGTCATGTGACTGTCACTTTCCCATCGACTTCATTTGTTGGAAGCTGAAGGTGATGGTCCCCTATGATGATCAGGTGACTGCAGAATGCTTCAACGTTGTCATTGCGAGCTGGTTGCCACGTGCCCAAATCACAATCATCATGGGGAGAAGCTCACAGCTGTGACTACGAGGACCCAATATAAGTCCCTCTTGTTCAGTGCCATCCTAACTTTGAAGGGCCACTGAAGGAATGGTCATTCAATGAGGACTACCTCTAATTAATATGCTGATTAATATTATTAGAAGGAAGGTTAAAAGTACAACTCAAGAATTCTAAGTAGTACTTTGCTTTCAACAGAGAAAAGATATAGTTGTTCAGCAAGGGTTTTCTCATGTTGTTCAAGGTGCAAAAAGCAAGAACTTGTCTCTTTTGTGAGAGGTTGTAATTGTGCATTGTTTTGGTAACTACTATTCCTTTTATCATAGGAGAAATAGTACACAAAGACATGCACAATTACTGATTGCTTGCAGATATTTCATTGCCCAACTAGGTAATACCATAATCGATTCTTAATTCTTTTAATTGGGAGCACAGAGGCTTGTGTAATTAGGACACTGGTTGGAGGTTAGTAAGCCCACTTTTGAGACCTCAGTGCTGTGGTGGTGAGCTCCTGTCCTTTGCTCCAGCTCCTGTGGGGGACATGAAAGGAGCCTCCAACTGGGCGTCCCCGGGGCAATAGTGATGTCACTGGGTAGTCTTTTAACCCAGAAACATTCTGGTACTTGACATGAGCACCATATGAATTATTTTAATAAGAGACATAGTAAGAAATTGCTCCCATCTTTTAGCATGCTGCCTTATCATTCCTGAGAGGATGAAGTTCACTGAAATTAAGATAATTCCTGGTCTGCTCTGTTTTTAAAAAGTTTTGATGAATGACTCTATCAACAGGTGTCCTCCAACAGGATTGGAGGACAGCTGCCTTTAATCACAGCCATTGACCACACTGATCAACAGAGGCATCCACAGGACTGGAAGAGTTCATCAAAATGGTGAAATCAGTGTGGCAGAGAATTGCTGAAATCTCCACCCCTTTCTGTATGTGTCATAATGGATGCAGCTAAGGGGTGGAGCTTATATCACAATAGCACCATTCTGCTTTCATCTTTGGCTTCCTTGATCTTCCCTGTGGACACCTTTGCTAATTGGACCTTATTTAGAGCAGGGGTCTCCAACTTTGGCAACTTTAAGACTTGTGGACTTCAATTCCCATAATTCTGGGAGTTGAAGTCCACAAGTCTTAAAGTTGCCAAGGTTGATTTAGAGGACATTCCTTCTCTATGGCTTATGGCTTATGGCAAAGTAGGGTCAGAATTTTGAGCTCCATGTTAACTTCTCAAGACCTTCAAGGTAAGTCAGATCAAAAAAAAATTCAGGATTCCAGAATTATTGCTTAATTGTTGTAGGTTTAATAACTGAATCTTGATGGTGTCCCATCTTATTCCATTAAATCAAGGTCAGCTATTCTGAATTTCTTTCTCTTGCATCTTCTGACTCTAGGCTGTATTCATTTCTTCTCCGAGTTCTTCTTTAACAGCTTGTTCATACTTTCCTCTAAACTAGCTTAAAATACATCCATCTGGAGAAGTTTTCCATCCAGATAGGCCTTCAAGGACAGCCAAAAGAGTGCCTGTTGGATTTCTGCCTTAGAAGATGATAAGACCCAGAATCAGAGCAAGATGGCCTTCAGTCATTAAGTGTTGTCAGGGCTTTTAGAATTGCAGGTGGATTCCTACGCTACCATGATCAGCAAATAACAGAATGACAGAGTTGGAAGGGACCTTGGAGGTCTTCTTGTCCAACCCCCTGCTCAGGCAGGAAACCCTATACCATTTCAGACAAGTGGTTGTCCAATCTCTTCTTCAAAACCTCCAGTGTTGGAGCACCCACAACTTCTGGAGGCAAGTTGTTCCACTGATTAAATGTTCTCTTTAAGTTCTAGGTTGTTCTCTCTTGGATTAGTTTCCATCCATTGCTTTTTGTCCCATCTTCAGGTACTTTGGAGAATAGCTTGACCCCCTCTTCTTTGTGGCAGCCCCTGAGATATTGGAACACTGCTATCATGTCACCCCTGGTCTTTCTTTTCACAAGACTAGACATACCCAATTCCTGCAACCATTCTTCATATGTTTTAGCCTCCAGTCTCCTAATTATTTTTAGTCCCCTAATCAAATAATGAATCTATCTTGAAGATTGTCAGGAAAAATACTTTTAAAAATGGTGCATTTTATTTCCCCCAGTGGATAGCTAATGAAAAACAGAGCTGACAGCTTGGCCTGCCAACATTCTGCAAACAATGCATTCTTTGCTGAACTGGGGCATAAAAACTCATTTTCTTTCTTCTGCCATGTCCTTAAAACTGGGGTCTGGCATCCTGAGTCTCAACCTGAAAAGAACCATATGACTGGGATTGAAAGGCCGGTAGTAAAAATGGCGGGAGGCTCCGCCCACCTACCCAGGCATCATAAGGTAGATCTGCGCATGCGCAGAAACTTCCTGTGCACTCACGTTCTGAACCGGTAGTAAAGGTAAGTAGAACCAACCCCTGAACAACAGGTATAATTTTAGCAGTGGCAGCCTCTAAGCTCTTCTGTTTTGTTTCCTGCTAAGCTGTGGACATTACATCTGTGAGGATCGTTGTAGCTTAAAAGCCACTTTGAAAGGTTCATCTTTTGGGGGGAAAAATGAGGTATCTATTTCACGACAGAAAAATAAAATAGATTCTGAAAAAAGTAAAACAGAATCTCATGGAGCACAATATTTTTTTTCCATAATAGTCAAAACTCTGGAGGCCAGCCAGAGGTGGTATTTGCCAGTTCTCCAAACTACTCAAAATTTCCGCTACCGGTTCTCCAGAACCTGTCAGAAACTGCTGGATTTCACCCCTGCCTTGAATAGTTTCCATCCATTACTTCTTGTCCTGCTCTTGGGTGCTTTGGAGAATAAGTTGACCCCATCATCTCTATGACATCCCCTCAAGTATGCAAGGGTGCTATCATGTCACCCCTAGTCTTTCTCTTCATTAGACTAGATCAGCTGTACAAGAGCTAAAGAAATTATTAAAAGTAAAATGTCAACATCTAACTTTCAGTTGAGACCCAAAATAGTCCAGTTTGGGAAAAAAAACCCACTAGTTTACATTACATCCATACTTAGAAAAAGTTGAAGAAAAAATATCCATTTGGAGAGCAGTAATAACATTTGGTTCTTTTGCATTAAAAACACAAATCATAATGTTCCAAGGAAATAATAAAAAATAAAATAGAAATAAAATAGTATCACTAGGGCTAGGCCCCTAGTCATCTGTAGTTGTTGATAATATCTATCAGTTTTTAAATCCTAAACTTTATATATGTACATTGAAATCTAGTCTAAGCCATGCCAAAAATATGCATAGCGTTACCCTTTAAGAGCTCAACTCTGCGAAACGATTGAGATGAATGTTATATTTAATATGTTAGGATTCCCTCTGTGTCTATCCATTATCTATTCTGCTAGTGTTTATATATCATTGTCCTAACTACAAAGACTCCTTACAGATTTGAACATAAAGATCATAATGAAGCACGTTTAGAAGGTTAAGTCACAAACCTAGATTAGAGAGCCTATCCAAAACATTTTCAAAGGGATCAAACTGTTAACAAGGAAAGATAAAGATAAAATTCCTTTATCTTCCAAAAAAGCCTTGTATCTAAATTACAACTGTTAGCGATTAGTCATCAGAAAGCTCCATAGGTGCTATTGATGATATCCAAATATCTGTTTCTTCCACTAATTGCATTACCAGCCCTTTTTCTGGATAGATAGCACTTAATACTGATTGGCAGAACTATGTTTTGCAATAATCTCCTATCAGCTCTTTGAGGTATCCCAAGTCTGAGTGGCGTAGGAGGCTAATGCTTCCTAAGGCAGCATTTAACATCTAGCTGCCTGCAATTACTGCGAGTTCAATTCTCACCAGGCTCAAGGTCGACTCAGCCTTCCATCCTTTCTAAGGTGGGTAAATTGAGGACTCAGTTGTGGGGGCAATAAGCTGACTTTGTATAAATATACAAAAGTATGAAGGCTATTGCTTAATGCATTGTAAGCTGCCCTGAGTCTCCGGAGAAGGGCGGCATATAAATCATTTTTTTTAAAAAAAAGTCATCAGAAAACAGCACAAGAAATACAGACAGATAGTCCTCATTTAGTGACTACTGTTGGAACTGGCAATTTGGTTGTTAAGTGAAGTGGTTGCTAAGCGGAATCATGACTGCAGTTAGGATTTTACTTCAGGTTTCCTTTGCTTTACAGGCCTGTGAAGGTTGTAAACACAAGGATTGGTTGCAAAGTTACTTTTTCTTCACCGTTGTAACTGTGAATGGTCAGTAAGCAAGGTAGCCGCTTAATAGTACTACTGATATTAGAACTCTTATTATATTGATATAAACTATAGTAAAATAGAAAATTTTTAAAGCTTGACAACTTTTATCCTTGGCTCCCTCTTGCGCCAAAGATTGTCAAGATGAATGAGCAATGCTGAATTTCTTTCTCATAACTTCCTGCTTTTCTTGGCTAAATTCCTATTTTCCAAATGGTTGCCACATATTTTCTTCAAGGCCATCTCTGTACTCACCTATATCTCATAGTAACTAGTGGGTTTTTTTAAAAAAAAAGGGGGGGGAGTGGTTAGAAAAGTTTCTAAGCTGTATAAAATTAGCCAGATAATTTCTTTCACATTCCATTCTCTTTGCAAAACATATTCATATTTTTCTAGCTGCTTTGACTGCTTTGAGAGAGAGAGAGAGAGGGAGGGAGGGAGGGAGGGAGAAGGAGTATATATATGTGTGTGTGTGTGTGTGTGTGTGTTTGTGTTTGTGTGTGTGTGTTTTCGTAGATTTTCATGGCTACAATCCTATATAATGGTATGTGGGAATGGCATTTTGGTGTAGTGGTTCAAACATGAGGCTAGAAACCAAGAGAGTGTGAGTTCTAGTCTTGCCTTAGGCATGAATGCTGGCTGGGTGACTTTGGGCCAATCACCAGGAGACTGTGAATTCTAGTTCTACCTTAGACATGAAAACCGGCTTGATTTGGGCCAATCGCCAGGAAACTGGGTTCTAGTCCAGATTTAAGCACGAAAGACAGTTGGGTGACTTTGGGCCAGTCACACTCTCACAGCCCAACACACTTCACAGTTGTTTTTGTGGGGAAAATAGGAGGAGGACAAGAGTAATAAGTATGTTCATCACCTTGAGTTATTTATAGAAATTATAAAGGCTGGCTAAAATAAAAAAATAAATAAATAAACAAAACAAAACAATCTTGAAGAACAGTGAGCAGAGATGCCACCTAAGAGCGGATCAGATAACAGGAGATTTTTAACAGTAACAGAGTTGGAAGGAACCTTGGAGGTCATCTAGTCCAACCCCCTGCTCACTCAGGGGGACCTATACTAGGGATTCGAACTGCCAACCTTTCTGATCTACAAGCTCAGCGTCTTAGCCACTGAGCCACCTAGCCAGCCTGCAGTTGTTTAATGGTCAGAGAAAGAAACTTAGACAGGACCCACCTTAATGGATCAGGCTGTGGAAAGTGACAATGGGAGATTTGGAATTGCAGACTCGCAATGTTCGGTTAATGTAGTCTTACAATACAGCAGAATTAGCTCATCAGGTCATGTTTCCCACCTGGTTTACCTGGGAGGGTTGACACATCCTATTCAAGCTGGCACTTTAAGAAAGGAACAGGCTGAGAATGATTGCTCCTTGCTCTCACTCAGTCTCAGATGCAGAGGTAAATGTGAAGGCCAGGTGCCTCGTAGCTGAAGAGCTTCTATATGCTTTTGCTCAACTGTCAGAAGATTGTTTGTTGCTGTTCTTACCATCTGCTCTCGATGCAATGTTCACTTCGTTTCACTGCCTTTTCATAACGGGAGGGTTTGTTGCCAGTGACTGGCAATTATATCTGATATGAATCTTTTTTGGTAGCTGATAAGGTATTGAACTGGCTTGAATGATACCTCTGCTGGTCTAGAAAGCAGGAGACTAGATAAGATAAGATAAGATAATTTTATTTCTATACCGCCCCTCTCCCGAAGGACTCGGGGCAGTGCACAGCCAAGTAAAAACACAATACAAACATCATAATTAAATTTAAAAATTATTAAAATTCTTACATTTGCAGCTGAAATTCGTTAAAAGCCCAAAAATTTAAAAACTCCAAATTTAAAACTCCGTTAACAAAGATAGCCCTGCCTGTCAGAAGAGCAGGGTCTTGAGGGCACAGCGAAAAACTCGGAGGTCAGAGATTCTGCGTATTTCCGGGGGCAGTTTGTTCCAAAGGGCAGGGGCTCCCACAGAGAAGGCTCCCCCCCTGGGTGTCGCCAGCCGACATAATTTGGCCGACGGCACCCTGAGGAGTCCCTCTCTGTGGGAGCGAACTGGTCGGTGGGAGGCTATTGGTGGCAGAAGACGGTCTCGTAGGTACCCACTAGGAGTGCTAGTGCTTCCCTTGGGCCTATTTTATTTATATTGACAGTTTCCCTATGACTATCATTAAGTGTTGTACCTTATGATTCTTGACGAATGTATCTTTTCTTTTATGTACACTGAGAGCGTAAGCACCAAGACAAATTCCTTGTGTGTCCAATCACACTTGGCCAATAAAGAATTCTATTCTATTCTATCAGTTGGTTGAGTGACTTTAATCCGGTCATTCTCTCTCTGCCCAGCCCACCTCATAAAGTTATTGTTCTCGGTGGGAAAAATAGGAGGTAGGAATATACTAAGTTCTCACTTAGCAGCTGGGACCAGCAGTTCCATTGCTAAGTGACGTGGCTGTTAAGTGAAATATGTGCTGTCCGTTCTGTTGTGGCTGTTAAGAAAATTGCCCACGGTTGTTAAGTGTGTCACATGACTTCAACTCCTGACTTTCTGCCGGCTTCCCCATTGACTGTGCCTATTGAAAGCTGGCTGAGAAGGTTGCAAATTAAAGTAAACTCATTCCAGTTGCAAGCCCTCAAATCGTGATCATGTGAACGGAGGTAGACTTTGTGAGAGCCGCCACTTTGAGGACTGATGGTAAGCTTGCTTTTTCAATGCCGTCCTGAGTTTTAAATGTAGTAATGTAGTGCTATTCTCAGTAATTAATTTAAGATTGAAACTTTTATTATATAACAAATATTTTGATGTGAGTCACAGCAGGATTTTTTTCAATGTTATAGTCAACTTTGGAGGAAAATGCCAAATGATTTTTATGCTTGTATTATTGATAGCCTAAATTGTAATTAATAGCGATAAAATAGTTTTCTCTCTGCTCTAAGTTATCTAAATAATAAAATGTCAATAATCTTCAATGATATTATACTGTAAAAGTTTTACCATATTGAATCATTTACCATATTGAATCTTTGAATCATTTATAATAATTCAGTAAAAAGGGGGAAAGAACTTCTCTTTGCAAAATAGAGTAAAGGAACTTAAACTTTCCTCTCAGTTAAGTTCAGTTCTTTGTGATGACGTCACACGATTTAGTTTTCTTGGCAATTATATAGAAGTGGTTTGCCAGTCCACCCTCCCCCAATTTCTAGGGTATCCTACAGAACTGAATTTTCTTAGTGGTCCCTTATCCTGATAGTGTAAACAGGCCGGATTTATTTTAGCTATTTTGGGAAGCCGAAGTTGGTCAGGAATAATAACAGAGGTAAAAAATTGGGGGCGGATGGGTGAAACTCAATTAAGGGATCTGCATCCATACTGCCTAGCAACCAGATGGAGCAAAGGGAATTTTTGTTTCTGTCTAGGATTTTCTGCTTAAAAAGTTGTAGTTTCTGTTTGTTTTTGGTTTTTTTTTGTTTTTGCTGTTATTCCCTGAGAGAGGTCTTATTAAAAGCTGTTTCTGTTCCTTTGGATCTTGTCAGGTCTGTTTTATTTCTCAGTACAGTAAAGTTTGCCAAGTTTTGTACCTTATTGAGTTCAGTCTCTTCCACTGAGATGTTTTGATAATAACTAGAACTTTAGAAATGTGTTTAGCATTGCAGCCAAATCTCTAGCAATGTATTTTAGTGTAATTTGGGCCTATGAATATGAGAGAGGGAATAGTATTCATTTTTTTTCTATACAGTGTGTCTATGTAGACATGTTTTGAAACCAACCTTCCTTCCTTCCTTCCTTCCTTCCTTCCTTCCTTCCTTCCTTCCTTCCTTCCTTCCTTTTCCCCTTCCCCTTCCCCATCCCGTGCTTCCCCCTTCCTTCCTTCCTTCCTTCCTTCCTTCCTTCCTTCCTTCCTTCCTTCCTTCCTTCCTAAATTGTATGAGGTCTATAACCGAGAAGTTATAAGTTATGTACCTCTGAAAGCTACTGCCAATGACAGGAAGTCCTTGGTGTATGACCATAATTGAGCCCAAAATTTCTGTTGCTAAGTGAAACAATTGTTAGGTGAGTTTTGCCCCATTTTACGACCTTTCTTCTTGTTAAATGAAATGTTGCAGTTATTAAGTTAGTAACATGGTTGTTGTTAAGTGAATCTGGCACCATTGACTGTTTTTCTGAAAGTAACACTGGGACACTGCAAGTGTCATAAATATGAACAGGTTGCCAAGTGTCTGAATTTTGATCACGTGACCATTGGGATGCGGCAACAGTTGTAAGTGTGAAAAATGGTCACTAAATGAATGGTTATAAGTCTAGGACTACCTGAATAATCAGCCTCTCCTATAGAATAACAGCCCATTACCCAGTTACTCCTTTCCCATCTCACCAGCATACCATATAAGGATACAGATTAACAGATTAACAGAGTTGGAAGCAGGGGTGAAATGCTCCCGGTTTGGACCGGATCGCCCGATCCGGTAGCGATGGAGGTGGGTGGTTCGGAGAACCGGTAGCAAAAATCCCTGCCCCCCCCATGCCCAGCTGAGCTGCACAATCATCAGAGGCTTTTTTTTTACTTTTAAAAGCATTTTTTCTACAACCTCTTCGGCCGAAAAAATGCTTTTAAAAGTAAAAAAAAAAAGCCTCTGATGTTCGTGCGGCTCAGCTGGGATCGTCAGAGGCATTTAAAAGAAAAAAACCCTTTTTTTCTTTTAAATGCCTCTGATGATCCCAGTTGAGTTGCCTGATCAGCAGAGGCTTTTTAAAAAAGCCTCTGCCAATCAGGCAACTCAGCTGGGATCGTCAGAGCCTTTTGAAAGCATTTTTTTACAACCTCTTTACTGAAGAGGTTGTAGAAAAAATGGTTTTAAAAGTAAAAAAAAAATGGCCACGCCCACCCAGTCACATTACCACCACCACCGCACCAAGCCACGCCCACAGAACTGGTAGTAACAAATTTTAGATTTCACCACTGGTTGGAAGGGACCTTGTAGGTCATCTAGTGTCCAAACCCCCACCCAAACAGGAGACCCTACACCATTTCTGACAAATGGCAGTCCAGTCTCTTCTTGAAAGTTTCAAGTGATGAAGCTCCCACAACTTCCAAAGGCAACTTCTGTTCCACTGGTTGACTGTTCTCACTGTCAGAAAATTTCTCCTTATTTCCAGGTTAAACTTCTCCTTGTTCAGTTTCCATCCATTATTCCTTGTCTAGTGTTCAGGTGCTTTGGAAAATAACTTGACCCCCTCCTCTCTGTGGCAGCCCCTCAAATATTGGAAGACTGCTATCATGTCTCCCCTGGTCCTTCTCTTCACTAGACTAGCTATGTCCAGTTCCTGCAACCGTTCTTCATATGTTTTAGCCTCCAGTCCCCTAATCATCTTGGTTGCTCTTTTCTGCACTCTTTGTAGAGTCTCAACATCTTTTTTATAGTGTGGTGACCAAAACTGGATGCAGTACTCTAGGTGTGGTTTACTAAGGCTTTATAGAGTGGTATTAGTACCTCACTTAAACGTCCTTCTTTACCAGACCTCTAACTTTTCTGAGATTATATTTATCTAAACAGAGGTTATCGTTGGAATATAAATCTTATCTCTCTTCCTGGGTAAGCTATCTTCAAGGCCTGTGAACAGTGAAGCATAAGAAGGCCAATAAAATCTTAAAATAAAACATGGTTTCAGAATCTTAATAAAACATTTTTAAGCGTGTTTTATTTAGTCTTCTGTTTAAATGTTGTAATACTATAATTTATAAAACATTGTAATGCAAGATAGTGTCTTTTGCCCTCCCAGTCGTGACTCAGTTTCTAGTGCGGTCCCTGATCATGAGTTTTGCAAGAATTAAAATGGTCTTCAATGTGAGGAGAATAACTAGGCCTAGATCTCTGCAGCCAGTCAGCAAGGATGGATGAATGGATCAATTGATTTATGGTATTTCTACTTCAATGACTTCACGTGGACCGCAAGCAGTTTATAAAATCATAAAACCAACCATTAATACTGATGTCATAATATTTGTTTTCTTGGTACCATACTGTAATTTACGAAGGGTGGGACATATGCTACTCATTTGCAACGAAAGCTCTCATAAATCCCCTAAAAATAAATAAGAACAAATTGGAACCACAAAGATGTCCCCCTTATAACTTCCTAGCTACTTGGAGGGAAACTTGAAAAGTTAAGGAGAGTCCCTTTTTCTTTTTAAAAAAATTTTTTTTTAATAGAGAAGGTAAAAAATGTGAAGAGGAAACCTGAATTTTTCTAATTTTTTTTTTCTTCCTGGGCTTTTCACTTTCTACATTGTCTCATTTTTTTTCTTTTATGATTCCATTTTTCATATTTTTTTATGTTTCTCCCCAGAGGTGGGTTTCTGCAGGTTCTGACCAGTTCTGGAGAACCGGTAGTGGAAATTTTGAGTAGTTCGGAGAACCGGTAGTAAAAATTCTGACTGGCCCTGCCCCCATCTATTCTCAGCCTCCCAATTCCCAACTGATCAGGAGGAAATGGGGATTTTGCAGTAACCTTCCCCTGGAGTGGGGAGGGAATGGAGATTTTACAGTATCCTTCCCTTGGAGTGGGGTGGGAATGGATATTTTACAGTATCCTTCCCCTGCCATGCCCACCTAGCCACGCCCACCATGCCATGCCACACCCACCAAGCCATACCCACAGAACCAGTACTGAAATTTTTGAAACCCACCACTGCTGGATACCATTACAATTTTAGCACCAGGGAATTGGAGACGATTATCATTGTTCAAAAACAGGGAAGTCAACTTGGATTAAAATAAACAGCAGCTCTGGCATGGGTTTTTGAGCCTAAACTAGTTTTTCTATAAAGGAGCATGAAGGATACCGAAGCCAGGTGATTTATTATTCAGGTATTCATTCAATTAAACTCTCCAGAGATCACCTCCAATTCCCAGCACCACGAAGTAAATTGTCATTCTTGCGGGACGGAGAAAAATTGATCATTCCTACGATTGCTTTTTGACCTCTTCATGTAAAAGCTCTTGCTTAAAGTTGCTTTAAATTCTTTGCAAACCTTACGGTGGGTAACTTCTCTGGGAAATCAGACCACGGAAAAGGTTTTTCTTGGTGAGTTTGCGGTCTGATTTTTCTGCTTTTTTTCTCTCCTCTTTCTTAGGAGAAGAGACAATGGGGATATCTACCGTGAACCCAACTGCATGGGGGCCAGCCAGCTCCATCCAAATCAAAGTTCATTCAGAACAGTGGGAACTAAACAGTTAAAAGTCAATCACCTAGTCTTATTTATTGGAAAGGCACTGATTTCAAGGGCAGGAGAGGGAGACAGCAAAGAAAAAGGGAGAAAAATGAATGAAGACAGGAAAATATTAACAAGCAATATGTATATAAAATACCATTTGCTCAAAATGCTTAACTGGATTATTTCATTATCCTACCTACTATTTTATTTTATTTATTTATTTTATTTATTTTGTCAAGGATATGTAAGATAACAGGTAAAAGTATAAACATAATTTGAATACATGAAAAGAGTAAGTAAAAAGGAATATTAGGACAGGGATGGTCGGCACGCTGGTGCACTTATGCACCCCCATTACAGACCTCTTAGGAATGGGGTGAGGTCAACAGTAGACAGTTTAAAGTTAAAGTTTTGGGGGTTTCAGGAAAAAACTACAGAGTCAGGTAGTGCATTCCAGGCATTGACCACTCTGTTACTGAAGTCATATTTTCTGCAATCGAGTTTGGAGCGGTTTACCTTGAGTTTGTATCTATTGTTTGCTTGTGTATTGTTGTGGTTGAAGCTGAAATAGTCATTGACAGGAAGGACATTGTGGCAGATAATTTTATGTACTATGCTTAGGTCAGACTGAAGTTAGTGTAGTTCTAAGTTGTCTAAGCCCAAAATTTGGAGTCTGGTGGCATAAGGTATTTTATTGCGGGTAGAGGAATGGAGGACTCTTCTTGTAAAATATCTCTGGACTCTCTTGATTGTATTTATGTCCGATATGCAGTGCGGGTTCCAGAAAGATGAGCTGTATTCAAGAATTGGTCTAGCAAATGTTTTGTATGCTCTAGTTAGTAGTACAATATTACCAGAGAAGAAGCTACGCAAGATTAGGTTAACATCGCTTAATGATATTATATATAATATAATATAATATAATATAATATAATATAATATAATATAATGATATAACACATTTTATCATTTCATAAAGTAACCAAGGGGTTCTGGGTTCATACAACAGAGTTAAACCCCCCCCCCCCGGCAAGATTAATCAAGGCTTCAAATAACCAAAATTTGTATCTGTGTAAAGTTTTAAGTATGGTTTAGAACAGGGGTCTCCAACCTTGGCAACTTTAAGACTCGTGGACTTCAACTCCCAGAGTTCCTCAGCTCAGAGTTGGGAAAGACTGTGGAGGTTCTCCAAGGAGTTTCCCTGATTGAAACCAGCGGTCTCCAACCTTTCTGGCTTTGCAGACAGGTGGGGGGGGGGCAGGCAAGGGGTTGGTACCACGCGAGTGACGGGCAAGCATGAGCACGCAGCTCCATTTGCGCAAACAGGCATGCACGCATGCCACTTGTGCAAATACAGTTGCGCATGTGCACTTGCCTGCCTGCTGAGTGCACAAGTGGAGCTGCACGCATGTGTGCTCACCCACCGCTTCCATGGCCCAGTTCTGAATTGTCTGTGCCTGGTAGTGGCAATTGGCCTCAGGGTTGGGGACCCCTAACTTAAGACCGTCCCAGAAAAATGGCTATCCATCTTTTGCTTGAAAATCTTCAGTGATGGTACTCCCTAGTTTCCAGAGATAGGCTGCTCCATTGCTTATTAGTGTTCATGGTCAGGAAGTTCCTCCTTACTTTGAGTTTGGATCACCTTCTGTAAAACTTCATTATTCCTTTCCCACATTCAGAGGCTAAGTATTTGGAGAATGCAGTTATTGTTCTTAAGGCTACAGGTGCCCTGTTCCTTTCACTTTAGCATTTAAGCCCCTCACCATCTTTGTCATTCAATTCTGCACTCTTTCCAATGTGCTCTTACCAGTTCCTCAACATCCTTCTTGCATTGTGGTGTCCAAAAGACCATGGAGTCCAGTGGTGAAATCCAATTTTTTTTTTTACTACCAATTCTGTGGGCATGGCTTGGTGAGTGTGGTGTGGCTTGGTGGGCATGACAGGGGAAGGATACTGCAAAATCTTCACTCCCACCCCACTCCAGGGGAAGGATACTGCAAAATCCCCATTCCCACCCCATCCAGGGGAAGGATACTGCAAAATCCCCATTCCCACCCCACTCCAGGCGAAGGATACTGCAAAATCCCCATTCCCACCCTACTCTGGGGCCAGCCAGAGGTGGTATTTGCTGGTTCTCTGAACTACTCAAAATTTCCACTACCGGTTCTCCAGAACCTGTCAGAACCTGCTGGATTTCACCCCTGATGGAGTCCCAATGAAATCATTCCTGACCGGCAGCTGGCAGCATCTTTTAAACATAGATGAACTTCATTTCTCATTGTTCATGGATGGGCCACCCTCAGAGTTAAAAGTCAACCAATTCTCCAAAGCACCCGAGGGCAGGACAAGAAGCAATGGATGGAAACTAATCAAGGAGAGAAACAACCTAGAACTAAGGAGAAATTTCCTGTGACAGTTAGAACAATTAATCAGGAGAACAACTTGCCTCCAGAAGGTGTGGGAGCTTCAACGCTGGAAGACAACCATTTGTCTGAAATCGTATAAGGTGTCCTGCTTAAGCAGGGGGTTGTACTTGAAAGACCTCGAAGGTCCCTTCCAAGTCTGTTATTCTGTTAATATCCAATCTGCATTTTTATGCTTATATTGGCTTACTGGAGTCAGTAAAATCCAGGCAAAGGGGAAATAAATTGGTACTAGGAGACAGGAATTTAAAATGAGGGTTTTTCCCCCCCCAATCGCAGGCATTATCAAGTGCTGTTTCACTCATTCAATTTTTGACTGAAGAGGCTTGTGTGATGCAGGACTTTAATGATTCTGAAGTAATTTTCTCCTCCTCTCTCCTCTTTTCTTGGTATTTTAATAGTGTAAGCGATTGAGAGCTAACAAGCAGCTTTGCTGATAGACCCTCTGAGGTAAAATTAGCTTATGAATAAGGGGCTTGTTAAATTCCCAATCTTGGTGGCAGAGAAGTCTTAATAAAGGTCTTGATTATGTTAGGAAGGTAGCACTAGGTATGTATGTATTCAAATAGAAGAGGCTTTTAGCATTCTTCTAAGGTAGTGTTTCTTAACCTTGGCAACTTTAAGATGGGGTGGGCTTCAACTCCCAGAATCCCCCAGCCATCTTTGAAATTCTGAGAGTTGAAGTCAGGGGTGGGCTTCAAAAATTTTTAGCAAGGGGTTCTCTGCCCGGTTGCTGAGTGGGCGTGGCCATGGTGGGCGTGGCCTAGTCGACCTCCTGCACCGTGGCAGGGGGGCATTTTTGTCCTCCCCAGGCTCCAGAGGCTTTCCTTGAGCCTCTGGGAGGGTGAAAACAGCCTCCCCAGGCTCCGGAGGCCCTCTGGAGGCCCAAAATGGGCCAGTTTCCGGCCTTCCCAAACTTCCGGTAGGCCCGTTTTTCGCCCTCCCCAAGCCTCCACTGACACCCTGCACTTATCTGCATCCAAAATGGGTCACGTGGGGACTCCTGGGAGGGCTGGGATGGGTGGGGCCAGCCAGGAGTGGGATTTGGGGGTTCTCCAAACTGCACAGAATCTTAGCTAGAGGTTCTCCCGAAGCCCTGCAAACCCCCAGCAGCCCATCTCTGGTTGAAGTCCACCCATCTTAAAATTGATAAGGTTGAGAAACATTGATTTAAGGAACTTGAATGTTTCTTTACATGCTGGGAAAATTGGAAGTGCTATAAACAAGGACAATAAGATCTAAAATCCAACATTTTTTTTTTTACTCCAAGGGTCAAGTAGATTTTTTTTTACTCCAAGAGGCATGTAGATTTTGAGCAGAGATAGTCCTCGATTTACAACCACAACTGAAAATTTCTGCTGCAAAGTGAGATAATGCCCGATTGTATGACCTTTTTTGTCAAATTTGTTAAGTGAATCATTGCAGTTGTCAAATTACTAACATAATTGTTAAGTGAATCTGGCTTCCTTTTTGACTTTGCTTGTCCGATGGTCATAAAAGGTGATCACATGACCTTGGAACACTAAAGCCATCATAAATATGAGCCAGTTGCCAAGCCTCTCAGTTTTGATCATGTGATCATGGGGATGCTGCAACAGTTGTGTGAAAAACAGCCGTAAGTCACTTTTTCAGTGCTGTTGTAACTTCAGTCACTAAAAAAAATGTTGTAAGTTGAGAACTGCCTGTAACTTCTTAGGGATAAACAAAAGTGGTTTGATCAAAGCAGAGTGCAGGCCAGGATCATTTCAGTTTCAGTTAATTCATTTCAGTTTCTTCAGGTACATACAGGTAGACCTCAATTTTTGGCCACAATTAAGACCAGAATTTCTGATGCTGACTAAGCAAGGCAGTGGTTCAGTGAGTCATATACCTGATGACTTATGTGAGCTTTTTTTGCCACAATTGTTAAAGCACACCATTGCAACTGCATGGCAGTTGTTAAGTGAATCACACAAATGTTAAATGAATCCACTTTCCTCCATTGACTTCCTTGTCGGAAGCCGGCTGGGAAGGTTGCAAATCGCAATCACGTGACTCCAGGATGCTGCAAACCATTGTAATTAAAAGCTGATTATCAATTGTCCAGTTTTTGATCATGTGACTGTGAGGATGCAGCAGTGGTTCTGTGGGAACCAGTCATAAGCCAATTTTTTTTCCCCCAGGGCCATTGTGCCTTTCAATGGTTGCTAAACAAGTAATTGCAGCTCAAGGGCTAGGAATAGCATTTAGACCAGGGGTGTCAAACTCAAGACCTGGGGGCCAGATCCAGCTCACGGGGTGCTTAGATATGGCCCGTGGGGCTGCCCTAGAAATAGCGAAGGACCGGCCTGCAGTGCCTCTGTCAGTGAAAATGGAGCTCAGGTGGGCTGTGTGCAGCACTCCCAAGCTCTGTTTTCACTGGCAGAAGGTTGCAGGAGGCGGTTGCAGCTTGCGGGGGCTGTGTGCGGCACTCTCAACTCCGTTTTCACTGGCAGAGGATGCAGGAGGCCGTGGCAGCTGAAAACGTAGCTCGGGAGCCCATTTTTGCTGGCAGAGCGCTTGGGCCACCACAGACGCCGACACGAGTGATGTCAAGCTGTCCATGCCCATCCTGGCCAGGCCCACCCAGTCCCCCCAAGGCCAAACACAACCCTGATGTGGCCCTCAATGAAATTGAGTTTGAGACCCCTGACTTAGACCATCAGTCCTCAACCTTTCTGGCTCTACAGACTGGTAGCAGTGGCAGGGGTGCAGATGGTTTTATG